CACTGACCATCAGCATTAGGCTCTTTCGTAAATTGCCACATCTTGCCCTTTGGGAACCAGATGCAGTCAGAGGGGCAGGGAGAGCAGCTCCCATTGGCTGGGAACAGGAAACTGCAGCCAATGGGAGCTGCAGGGGCGGTGCCTGCATGCGAGGGCAGCACACAGAGACCCTCCCCCCAGGAGCCGCTGCCAGACATGCCAGCTGCTTTTGGGAGCAGTGCAGGGCCAGGGCAAGCAGGGAGCCTGCCTTAACTCCACTGCGCCGCCGCTGCCGCCCAGGAGCCGCCTGAGGTAAGCAGCGCCCAGCTGGAGCCCACACCCCAAAACCCCAGCCCTGAGCACCCTGGTGCACTCCAACCCCCTGCCCCAGCCCCCTCCCAGAAACTGCACCCTGCACCCCAACTCACTGCCTGAGCACCCTGGTGCACTCCAACCCCCTGCCCCAGCCCCCTCCCAGAAACTGCACCCTGCACCCCAACCCACTGCCTGAGCCCCCTCCTGGAGCCAGCACCCTACACCCCCACCTCCTGCCCCAGCCCTGAGCTCCCTCCTGCAGCCTAGCCCCCTACCCCAGGCTCAGTCCGGGTTCCTCCCACACTTCAAACCCCTGGGCCCCAGCCCAGAGCCTGCACCCCAATCCCGTCCAATCCCAGTGAAAGTGAGTGGGGGGAGAAGAGCGAGCAAGCACTGGAGGGATGCGGGGATGCAGTGAGCAGGATGGGGCCTCGGGGAAGGGGTGGGTCAGGAGCAGGAAATGGGGCCGGGCAAGGGTGTTTGGGTTTGTGAGATTACTGTTATTTCTACATTTTCTTTGAGGTAGATCCTGGGTTGCACTTAAATTCAAAAAAATCTCCAATGACAGAGATTCCACAACTTCCCTGGGCAATTCGTTCCAGTGCTCAACCACCCTGACAGTTAAGAAGTTTATCCTAATTTCCAATCTAAACGGCCCTTGCTGCAATTTAAGCCCATTGCTTCTTGTCCTATCCTCAGAGGACAAGGAGAATAATTTTTCTCCCTCCTCCTTGTAACAACTTTTTATGTACTTGAAAAACTTGGTTATCACGTCCCCTCTCAGTCTTGAATAGTTCAGTTGGGAAACCTTCCCAAGGAAAAAAATGTGGTCAATACTGTGTCAGTTGGCACACTAAGATAATGAATCATGAACTATTTTGTTGAAAGTCTGCATGATCTACTAGACAGCTGCTTTCTTGGGATGCTTGCTAAATACAAAGAGATGGACTTGTGGTTAAGGCTCTAGACTGGTACTCAAGAGATGTGGGTTTAATCCCCAGCTCTGCCACAGGCTACAGATGTCACCTTGGCAAGTATCTTATTCTGTGCCTCAGTTTTCCCCTCTATAAATAGGGGATACTACTACTTTTCTCTGACCCTTTGTATGTTTTGTCTATTTAGAAGTGACTGTGCTAAACTAGAGCCCAAAAGGCCTGACCAAGGTCCAGACCCCATTGCATTGGGCACTGTACAAAATGCATAGTAAAACAGATCATCTTGTTGTAGCATGCCTTACTAATAGTGCCACACTCTTACTGTGGTCAACATTTTCAATTAAATATTGCTGTAATATTTTTATCCTCCCTAAGAGGCATACAGTTAATGCTCAGGAATTACTGAGAGGAAGGCCAGACGGTAAAGTATAAAGCTAGATATCATCAGTGTCACCAGACTTGTGAGGTATAGAGGGCCCTACAGTATCAAGCTCAAGTAAGCAGTTCTAGTGGGATCTTACCTGCAGTTCTTACACTGAAGTGAACCACAATACTTCAAAGATTGATATTTACATCTTTAAAATTACTCGGATATCTTACTATTAGTTGTCAGGACAAGGTTCCTCTACCTACTAACCAAAGCCATGGGTGACTTCTTCTAAAAAGAATCTCAATAGCATTGTCAGTCACACTAGGGCTGTTACTGAGCTTTTCATTGACATTCTCATTGTTGTTACAGCAATGGTGTAGTTCCACTAGTGCAATGATCCCCAAACTTTTTATGTCAAACCCCTTGTGACGTTGCACTCCATACATTTCATGGAAATATGCTAATGAGCGTGAATATAATGTAACTGAATATGCTGCATGCAAAAGGTCTCTTGTAAGGTATCATTACAAAGGTTATAATCTACTGAGTGTTCATCCTATTTGTATCATTCTTGTATCTAAAATTAGAAATATTAAGTATAACTCTAAAGTCCTATTGTAATTACACAAAGTGTGGGCCAATAATGGTGGCTTGGAATCTTGATGGCTCCCACTGACCAGGACAATTGGTTGTAAATTGGCCCTGTTTACTTGCAAGTCTTCCTGTGAGTCAGGCCAGGAAGAATGGAGACTTGTGGTCCTCACAGGAAATGTGATCATGTCACCTGGTACTGGACTCCATCTTAAACCTGGTGCTTTTCCATTTAGAAAGAGGGGTGGGGACCGAGAGAGACAAAAGATTCCCGCCTTGTGCCAAAGATATAAAAGGGGGTGAAACAGACCAAAGGGGGCTGCCAGTCATGAGAAATCCCCTAGTTACACCTGAGCTGGAATGAACAAAGCTGTACTGGGGAAAGGATTGAGCCCAGACTTAGCTAGCGTTAGTAATAGATGCCCATCACCTCCAAGCCGGACTAAAGCTAGGCAGTCTATCTGGGAACGAAGCCATCAGATGTCAAGAAACTAAGGCCATGTCTACACTGCCACTTTACAGTGCTGCAGCTTTCTTGCTCAGGGGTGAGAAAAAACACCCACCTGAGTGCTGCAAGTTTCAGCACTGTAACATAGCAATGTAGACCGTTGTGGAGGTGGTTTTTTTAATAGCGCTGGGAGAGCTCTCCCCCAGCACTGGTGCCACAACTACACAGCACTTTAACGTTGCTAATGAAGATATGCCCTGTTGCTTCTTGGCTCCTTGGAGCTCAGATCAAATGCTGTTTTCATACAAGTCCTCAGCAACATGAGCATATGAAATCTGTCCTCTGCTCACTGCACTGGCTTCCCATAAAATGAGAAATTCAAGGTCTGTCCTTCTAGTCAAGAAACCCAATAGTTTGGGCCCAGAATACCTAAAGATCATCCGTTCAACAGCTTCACTCCTCTGGCACAACAGAGTTGTTTACTACAAGGGTAAAGCTCATCTATGTAGGAGACTAAACTTTTTTGAGGGATGATCCAAGACTGGACCTTCTGCAGGATCTAAGACTCACAATCTCAATGCTTTGTTCCAAGCTCAAGGCACACTTTCTTGATCTTGCCTTCATCAATACAGAACATAACACATTACAGGTAATACACTTTAATAATGTAAAGTTTAAATAAAAATGTACATCTCTTTCCCCCTTTGAAGAGGAAGGAAGAATCATAAAAAAAGATGCTAGTTACATTGCTTAAACTTCTGAAAGGTGCTCAGACAACAAGAATATAGAATAAAAATAGCAAACCGAACAAGCAAATTCATTTACCAGCAGTAAACCTGAATCTTTCCCTACTGAGCAGCAGAGGCCTAAGCCACCAATTCCTACAGAATCCAAGTTCCCATTTAGCTAACTTTAGTCCTAAACCATGAATCATAACCTCATGTGAATGAATGTTACCCTACCCTCCTGAGCTAGCAGGCAGACGGGTATGGGGACTCTGCTGCTGCCTGGCACTTTCTCAAGCAGCAGCAGAACAAGGCCAAGGGGTCTCCGCTGGTTTCACAGCTGCTCTTAGAGCCAGGCAGGCAGAGATGAGCCTGGCGATCCCAGGACAACAAAGACGAGGAGCGGGCATGGAGTTATTCACGCAGGAAGGAAGCTCATTAATAACAACCCCCAGGGGGCGGGCGGGCAGGCGGAG